CCCCCATTCCTCACACCCCCTCCCCCACCAGTCAGCATTTGTACGTGGGAAACCTGTGCAGTGTCTTGATTGGTGGTTAATTGTTTAATTTAAATCGATCAAAAATATAACTAAGAGAGTCATTTTTTCAGGTTTCTCTTTGTTGTAAATAGTACAATATTACTGTAGTACTTTAGTTGCAGTAATACGACATTAGCATAAGTACTACATTATCAGTGTTTGGATCTAAAACCTTTCTAACACACGGTTCACGGTCGGTCGGTCACATGGACACGGATCACCTCTTCATCGCTGTTCCTCTGCCTTTTTGTTTGTTTGTCTCCATCTGCTGGTGACAGAAGAAAGATACAAGATGAATAAGATAAGTACATGTTTTTTTCTTTTTTTTACAACAATGCTATTACAAGTAGTTTCAACAAATGTGTTGAAAATACACGCGATAAAGCTAATGTGCGCCCCCTGCAGGAAGGCATGCAGACTTATATTTATTTGTTGTCTTCAGCAGCTCTTTGTTTCTTTGTTGATATTTGTGTCTTTACTGAAGAGGCTGCAGCTCAGTGTGGAGATTTCATACACCCGAGGGGTTGCGGGTTCTATTCCAGATTGCTCTATAATAGATGTGGAGTCAGTGGTGGTAAAGGGTAAGACCAGGTTCATACTCAGTCCAACCGACGCCCCAGTGTGGCGGTGGCAGTGGCCAACAGACATGTTGTTAAAAGAGTTTCAGGGTAGAGTAGAGCGAGGAAGAGCAGCGGCATCGAACCCTCCATTACGGCTCTATTTCTGTCGCCAGACGACCACAACATTTTTAACTTCGAAGCTGTGCCGAAGTGACGGAGCAGCAGATTCTCCGAGACGGTCAGAGAGTCTTTGAACGTTCCAAAAAAAAAAAAAAATCCCACCCAAAAAATTCTGTTTTTATTAGTAAACCTTAAACATAGCCGCCTGTCTGCGTCAGGACCAACACTTCCCAGAATCCCTCACTCTGACAGCCGTCTTCAAGGACATCCATACATCTTCAAAAACCTTCGGAAAACATCAAAGCAGATCCGCACTTAACACTTTGAAGGACTGGAGATAAAATATCCTAATTGAGTGGTTCTCAAAATATGGTATGTGTACCACTGCTGGTACATGGGCTTCCTCTAATTGGTCATTTAGTTGCGAAAAGCAGTGTGGATTCAGTCATGTTAGTGCCACTTACAGTTCTAGTGATTGTTGTGGTCGACATAAAGCATTGTTTCCCAAAGACTGGGTCGCAACCCTCAGGTGGGTCACAAGAGGGTTTTTTTTTGGTTTGTCACGAATTGTTTTTCTCAGGAGTTAACGAATAATGTCTCTTGACTTGGGTCACAAACTTTTTGTGACTTTTTAAAATATGGGTCCCCCAGAAAATAAGTTTCCGAAACACACCTCCTCTGAGAACATTAACTCATTGACGAACCTCAGACCAGTAAAACAAAGGATCCTTCACCAGGTCCTGGAAGAACCTCAGTCTCCAGACCTTAAAAAACCCCGGTCCTGCTTAATGATGCCTTTAACAGCTGTCTGGTCTCTTGGGGGAAGGGAACGGGAGCAGCAGCAAAACTCCTGCTGCTGCTACTGTTAGAAACCGCCACCTCTGGCACAACACCGGAAGTAGAAGATTTGCCTTCAGAATAAAGGTACACCAAAAAATACCGCTGTTTCCCAAATTTTAGAGAGTCAAAAAAGTCTAATAATAATGAAAAAAAAATTAGAGTTTACTTGTAGTGTATAAAAATGCGGTGCGAAAAAGTCAACAATCTGCCCACGTTATTTATGCGGTGGTTCGTGTTTTAAACAAAGTTGCAATTTAAATGTTTGTTTTTTATTAATGTGCTAATATCTGTAGCAGTACAGGATGATACGTTTAATTTTTTTTAACCAACAAAGTTTTATTCATCCATCCATCCATCCATCCATTTTCATCCGCTTATCCGTTACCGGGTCGCGGGGACAGCAGTCGCCACCCAAATCACATTGCACCGTACCAACCCCCCAAACCTTCCTGCGGGTGGTGAGTCCACTGGAAGGTATTAACTGCCCTAACCGGGATTCGAACTTGTCCAGGAGGTGAACCCTGGGGTTCCACACCAATGACAGAGACATTGCCTCTGGGCCAAACGCCACAAGTTTTATTCATATTTTAAAATGTATTTAAAGGTATATTATTTTGAAAGGTGTAACCGGATGTGTTGGGTTTATTTCTAATGACTTTACGCTCTCGTGCCGTGCGCTCCTATGGAAACTGGAGCAGCGCGAGCAGCTCAGCTGTTCAAACTTCACACTCTGACCTGGTCGGGGTTCTGGCCTCGGGAACTGGTTCGTTCGTTGGTGAACGGTAGTCGGTGTCGATGTGAGTCGTCGACTAAACGGATTTTTTTCGACTAAATTGAAACTTTATTCACTTTCCACCTGTGATTTTTTTTTTCATGCGTTTGTTTCTACTTCGTTCCGGACTTTCTTTGGAATGTGAGTGTCGAGGCTGCGACCTCACGAACTCATCAGACGCGTCCTTGGTTCGATTCGGTTCGGTTCTTTCGAGTCTGTCGCTGAACCGGACACCTGTCCGCTCCAGGAGCCTGGTTGAGTTCACATGTCGGGGATGAGAGTGATCGTCTTCCTCGGTGTCTGTCTGACCTTGCACACATGCCGAGCTTTTCCGAACCAGCTGTCGGATCTCCGCGACGACCTGATGGAGTACGAGCAGCTGGACGACGAGCTGGACGGAGGCACGCAACAGAATTGGACCCGGGCCGCGGAGGAGTGCGGGCGGTGTGAGTTGGACCAGTGTCCGCACACCCGCGGCTGTCGGGCCGGCGTCGTTCTGGATTCCTGCGGCTGCTGCATGGAGTGTGCAAACCTGGAGGGTCAGGCCTGCGACCCCGGGCAGAGGAACCTATTTTACGGGCTCTGCGGGACAGGGCTGCGGTGTCAGGCTGACCCTCGACCCGCGGGGACAGCGGGGGGAGCGGAGGAGGACGAAGAGGAGGTGTGTGTGTGTGAGGAGCAGGAGCCCGTGTGCGGCAGTGATGGAGTCACGTACATGAACAAGTGTCAGTTCAGAGAAGCGGCGTTCTCCAGAGCAGAGCTGAGGGTCAAAGGGAAGGGGCCCTGTAAGACAGGTAACACTGCTGTCTGTCTGTCTCTCTGTCTGTGTTTCATGTTTCCAGACTGACAGTGAACCACCGCTGAAGTTGTCAGGGTTTTAATATATATATGTAGCAGGGTTTTAAATATATATATATATATATATATATATATATATTTGTAGATCTATGTCAAGTATATATATATACGTATATATATGTCAAGTATATGTTTATATTTATATATTCCAAATAATAATATATGTAGAAATATATATGTATACATATATTCCATAGAAAAATATATATAGAAATATATATGTATACATATATATTTCTATATATATATTTTTCTATGGAATATATGTATACATATATTCCATAGAAAAATATATATAGAGATATATATGTATATATATTTGTAGATCTATGTCAAGTATATATGTATATATATTTGTAGATCTATGTCAAATATGTATATATATATATATTCCAAAGAAAAATATATGTAGAAATATATATGTATATATTCCAAAGAAAAATATATGTAGAAATATATATGTATATGTATTTATAAACATCTGGTTTCTCTGCATGCCTTCACCTTTAAATGGTAAGGCATGCTCCGCCCACCTCTTCCACAGGGGGAGCACCTCCAGAGACACAGATGTGAACCATAGAAAAAAATTCAATAATTACTTTGTCAAATGTCCAACATTAGCTGATGGATAATTCAATAAATATAATATAGATATAATTTAAAAATATATATCACTAGCATGAAGAGTTTGTGCTTTTTTTTCACTTTCAAAATTCATCTAACGACCCCTATTGAAACCCCTGGTGGGCTGGTTTTGGCCCGCGGGCCATATGTTTGACACCCTTGCTTTACACCTTTCCGCAAGAGTGAATAAACACACAGGCCTCAGATGAAATCCGATCCGTGTACCAGGTTATGGTCGTGGATACAGGGAGACCCTGGTTAGGGACAGTTTTCTGGACGCCCCCACCCTACCCTCACCCCCTCACCAGACCCCCTGCCCCTCACTGCTCCCCATCATTCAGACCCCACCCGTCTCTGTGCTTTCTTTTAACAAATAGCCAGTGTTGACATGGAAACAGGGCTACAGTGTTACTGACCCCCATATGCACCCCCCGACCTGACTGCCCCTCTGTTCCAACACCACTGTTCCAGCTCAGTGGTTCGGGTCCTTTGATTAGCTATTACTTCAGCAAAAAAAAAAATCAGAATCTGAAATACTTCAATATACTTCAAAAAAAAATTGAGAAATATCCAATATACAGATTTTGGATTTATTTTATTTTATTTATTTTGATAGGACAAAGGTCAACCAAGCTGTTCATGGGTGACCCACCCAGTCACTCTATTAGAAAGCGGCTGTAAATGGGACAAAGATTTTCCTCAGGTCCAAAGAAAACACATTTGTACGAAAACCTTGTTGAGGAAAAAAAATAGATTTTTGTCAGATCTATGCTGCAGAGATCTAGGACTCAGATGTTGCTGCAGTGATTTGTTTTAACTGTTCATGTGAGAAGAGGTGGTACACAATTTAAAGGTGCATTATTAAAATTATTTAAATTTGTGGACCGCAGGCCACCCGGTCAAACACATGGACTCTAAGCTGATAAGAAGCCAGGCGTGTGTCTTATTTTTACAGAAGTTAAAACCTGCTGCTGGCACCAAAACAGAGGTCGTGGTGGATTTCTAATCTGTAAAACCCCCAGGCGCCAGAAAGACAACTGGAAGATGGGTGTGCAGTGAGACAGTTGTCATCAAAGTTGCTGCTGAACTTGGATTTATTATTCAGCGAGCAAGCCTTCTGTCATTTTTACTGAGGCTAGCACATTGTTAGCTTACTCTGAAAATGTCATAATGACATACTTAAGCCTTCTGCTGCAGCTTTAAATTACAGTGTACTAACACCTAAAGTGCAGCCACTGATAACTAAATTGTCTGTTAAACACACATTCCTCAGTGACAGCAGAGAAAAAAAAATATATGTGAAAAAACTGAAAAGAAAAATCCTTCACACTCAGAGACACAAGCTAGCACAAACAACGTATTCCCCAGACACTCAAACTAACCATAATTATAACAAATATAAAAAAATACAAATAAAAAAATCAAATTCCAACTTAAAGATTTAAACCTTAAAAAAACCTTAAAAAACCTCTCACTGAGTCAAGACCTGGAAATGTTCCTACAAGACAACGTGTCCTTATAACAATAATGTTTTAATAAAAACGTGTCCCTACAAGTATAGCTATACCAGAAAAACACACACAGGAGGTTTTCTCTGCAATTTCCCCCCAAATAACTGCAGTACATAGTATGTTTTCAATTGATATTCTCTTCTGATGACATACTGTTGTTTTGCCCCGCCCCCTCTCTCTCTTCTCTTCTGACTTGGTTTTTATAGTGAGTCTCTAATTAACTAGGTTGGTTGTTATTGTGTCTCAATGTTTAAAAGTGTCAAAAGGTTTTATTTAATGAAAGATAATGATCTTTTAGTTTGTAATTTACCCATGATTTACTAACTCACTTTAGGCCTGTTTAGTTGAAAACAAAAGGAAGGAATTGAAGAAAGAAACCACGCGAAGCTACTGACACACATATTCTGGTACATGTACACTGGAGGTACAAAACTATTGTCTGTCCCTTCCTTCGTCAGTCCCTGTAATTAAGGTCCCGCCTCAGAGCCAGGTGAACGGAACAGGAAGTAGTATGGTGTTCCTCTGTGAGGTCTTTGCGTTCCCCATGGCCCTGGTGGAGTGGAGGAAGGAGGGACGAGACGTTGTACTGCCCGGTGACGACCCTCACATCTCTGTTCAGGTGTGTTTACAAACTGCCCCTCCCCCCTGGTTCTTTACCACCGACAAGGAAAAGAAAAGTCCTCTGTCTGCCGTCTGACCTGTTTGTCTGCGTCTGTGTCCCAGTCCCGGGGTGGGCCCCTGAAGTTTGAGCTCTCCAGCTGGCTGCAGATCGAGGGAGCAGAGCCGGGAGACTCTGGGACGTATCGCTGCGTCGCTCGTAACAACCTTGGATCGGTGTCTGCCTCGGCGGTGCTGGGAGTTCTGGGAGCAGGTACAGCGGGTCAAGGTCAATAGGTCATTCAATGACCAATCATTTAATGCCAATGGCAGCGCCTAAAGCATGACTTTACTGAGCTGCTCAGTCCGTTAGCACATTGTTTCCCAAAGACTGGGTCGCCACCTTCAGGTGGGTCACAAGAGATTTTTTTTTTGGGATCGTCTCGCATCATGTTTCCCAGGAGTTTACGAATAATGTCTATTGACTTGGATCGCGAATGTTTGTGACTTTTAAAATACTGCATTAGCATGTATTGTATACAAGTAATCTGAGTAAATACATGTTGCGATGCATGAGAAATCTATGTAGCTAGCTGTACGCTAGGTCTGTCAAACTCATTTGGGTTCGGACCAGTAAAATCATAACATGATTACCGATAAATAACAATCACTAAGTAACAATATTTTTTACAAAACATTCGTGTGTTATTTTGTCTTCAAAATTCATCAAGCGGGCCAGATTGAAATCCCTATTGGGCCGGTTTTGGCCTGCAAGCCGTATGTTTGACACCTCCTGCTGTACCGCACTTAAACTAGCCCGCTACTTTATGTGGGAACTAGTTGGCAAGCGCTGCGGAGGAGTACGTCGGCGGCTTTGTTGACATTAGCCTGTTGTCTGCCGTACGTTGGATTGCGCTACATTCGTTAATGTTCATTTGTGTTGTTATTTTGAGAACTTTTTGCCCTTCATGTTGGCTACGTGTCTAATTACTTCGCACGTTAGGAATGGAAGTCCGACTTTGTTCCTACCATGCAACGTAACTTTGAAGTTCTTTTCAGTTATTTTGAAAGGCTATTAGCTGACACACACTGTCCCACTATGGTTCCACGCACCTCATCTTTGACACTTGTCTTCTCAGAGGAGCTGTCGTCGTACCTGGCCAACAGAGTCTCAGTAATGGAGCAGCTAATGGACGCTACAGACTACGACAACGACTCGTACTGACCCGGACCAGGGTCTCTCCTGGAGACCAGAACAGCGCCACAGTCAGGTGGTGGACGATTCAGAAAACGATTGAGAAAAAAAAGTGAAGTTAGTTCTACGGTCAGGGATAAACCTTTAACTCGTTAAAAAACACTTACATTACTGCAGTACTTTGTATCAGTACTCTGAACATGACTCAGCAGATTTTCCTGAATCAAAATAACTTTTTATTGTTTTAAATAAATGTAAAAAAAAACAAACAAACAGTGGTTTTAATATCATTGTTAGTGTGAATGATTGTGTGAATGACTGTGTGAATGTTAGTGTGAATGATTGTGTGAATGTTATTGTGAATGTTAGTGTGAATGATTGTGTGATGAGTGACAACTGGACATAAAATGTTGTCCCCCCTCCCAACATTCCTTGCAATTCAGTACTCAACTGTTTACCTTAGTGTATAAAACGTGTCAAACCTGTATCAAACATGAGGCCCGCGGGTCAAATCTGGCCCGTCACATCTTTTTTTCTTTTGCGGCCCACCAGATATTGTCAATACGCAACTAGGACTGGGTTTTGATGTGGCTCCCTCCAGTGGTTGAGTTTGACACAACAAGCGGCTGGTACACTGTAACTAACATATATTTTCTTTCACTTAAATACACATAAATCCATGAGTCCAGATCACTACTGAAGGCTCCTGCAGGAATTCTAACCAGAAACAGTACCAAAAACAGTACCAGGAATGCATTCTCCCTACATAGCTAGTCCCAGTTTGAGTGGTGGAACCATCGCCAAGAACAGGAAGTGTCTTTATTGACTCGACTTTTTCCTGTGAAAGATGACTTTGGACCAGCAGACGGACAGAATTTCCCTTGAAAGGGGAGCGCGAGCATCGGTGTCAGGGGGATTCTGGGACTTTTCTCACACAGCAGAGAACTCATTTTCCCGACCATGAAAAGACATCGACGTCTGTGGGAACAGCATCAAAAATTATTTAACAATTAAAAAAAATTAATTGCTGACCAAACATACAGTAGTCAGACCATGTGACCTTACACTGACCTCTGACCCCTGAGTTTAGGTGGCAGAACTTACAGAAGCCAGATTTTGGTCAGGATGAAAGTTCAAACTCTTCTC